GGTTCTCTTCTGTCCCAGGGTGTGCCTACATATGTCATCCAGGAGTTAGGGCCTCACAACTCTGCCTGGTGCCCTATCCTACTGTGACTGAGCTGGTATTCAAGTTGCAAGACCAAGTTCTCCTTACTCTTTCCACTCTTCTCAAGTGTGATGAAGGAATCACATTTGGAGCTGTGAGCTGCACAGCCTGGGGTTGGGGAAGGTGTGGTGCAGGCACTCCCTTTGCCACCCCAGTTGGTGTCTCACTAGGTTTCATGCCCCCCAAGTCCACTGGCTCTAAGCCCATCATAGCACTAGGTCTTGCCTAGGAGTTGCAGTCCTTTGTGGCCTACACTGCCTGTCGAGTTAATTTAGGACATCAGAGTCCTTTAGCCTACAGTGACAAGGCTTGCTGAAATTCAAGTCCTGACCTATTCCCCTCTGGCTAGGGCAAGTCTCAGTACTCCTTTCATGGGCATTGGCTGAATTCTGTCAGGTGCTGGCAGCACTGAGTTCCAATGCAAAATCCCATAGTCACTATGCTCTCCCTCTCCCAAGTGCACAGATTTTTTCTCCATACCACACGGCTGCTGCCAGGGGATGGCAGACCAATGACACTGGCAATTCAAGACTGTCTCTCTTACCCTCTTCAGTGCCTTTTTCAGTGATACGAAATTAAAGCCAGGTACTACAATCACATACCTCATTTGTGGTTCTTATGAAGGTGAATTTTTGTGTAGATATTTCTTAAATTTTGTGTTCCTGCGGGCAAGTGGGGATGATCTATGGAGGCTTCTATTTGGCCATGTTGCTCTGCCTCCCTTATTTGTCAGTTTTTTAAAAAAAAACACTGGGATTTTGGTTAGAAAGATATTATTGTATACATTAATTTGGTAGGGATTGGTATTTTTATGATGGAAGTCTTCCATATGGGAATGTGGTGCATCTTTCATTTATTCAAGTTTTCTCAATTATATAGGTTTCCCTGCCCCACTCTCCATAGGACAAGCTCCTTTCTTCTACATTTATCGAACTGTATTTTATAGATTTGTACCACTTCTAGTATAATTTTTTCTATTTCAATTTCTAACTCAAAATTATTAGTACGAAGAATTTTATCACAGCCACTGTGCCATATTGCTTCTCAGTTGCTGAGAAAGATGTAATAAAATCTATGATTGCACAGTTGTCAATTTCTCCATTAAATTCTGTCAACTTTTTCTCTGCATATTTTCACATTATGTCATAGGCACATATTATTTTATAATTGCCATCTTTTTCTGCAACAATATCACATTGCTTTATTCTAATTTTATAATACGTTTTGATATGTGGTATGTCTTAGTACCCTAATCCTTTCTCTTATTCAGGAGTGTCATGGACCATGTATGTTCCACATAAATTTTGGAAACAGTTTGTCAAGGTCTTAAAAAAAATCATCTCACTTCCCTATTTCAAAACTTACCACAAAGCTATAGCAATCAAGCGTAGTATTTACAGAAACACAGACATAGATCAATGGTACAGAACAGAAAATCCAGAAATAAATCCTTACATTTATGATCAACTGATTTTTTTTACAAGGGTGTCAAGATAATTTGATGGAGGGAAAGAACAGTCTTTTCAACAAATATTGCTGGAACACCTGGATATCCACATATAAAAGAATGAGGGGGTCCCTGATTTACACCCCACAGAAAAATTGACTCAAAATGGACCAAAGACCTACATATTAGTTGAAACAATAAAACTCCTAAAATAAAACATAGAAATAAATTTTTGTGACTGTCAGTTATGCAAGCTTTTTAATGATATGATATTAAGACAAATGATTAAAAAAGAAAAAAGTTAAAGACTTTTGTCCTGTAAAAAATTCCATCAAAGAAAGTAATGATGACCTACAGAATGAGAGAAAATATTTGCAAATCATATATCTGAATAGGGATGTGTATTGAAAAATAACTCTTAAAACTCAATAATTAAAGGGTAAGTAAGCAATTGAAAATAGGCAAGGCTCTGAAGAGACATTCTCCAAAGGAAATATACAAATGGCCAACAGCAACATAAAAATACACTCAACATCATCAGCCATCAGGAAAATGCAAATCAAACACACACTAAAGGATATGACTTACCACTGCACAACCACTAACTGGCTATAATTAAAAAATAGACAGTCACAATTGTTTTGAGGCTGTAGAGAAATGGGAGAAGGCAGTCTCTATAAAAAATAGTTTGGCAATTCCTCAAAATGTTAAGCATAAAGTGACCATGTGACCCAGTAATTCTACTCTAATCTGTATATATATAAGAAATGAAAGCCTACATTCATACAATAACTGGTATGCAAATGATCATAACAACACTATTTATAGTGGCAAAAAATAGAAACCACCCATGTGTCCATCAACTGAAGGATAAACAAAATATTAGTTGTATCAGCACAATGGAATATTATTCGGCAATAAAAAGGAATGAAGCACTGTTATATGATGTACCATAGGCCCACCCTGAAAACACTATGCTATGTCAAAGAAGCTAATCGCAAAGACTACATATTATATAACTTAATTTATATGAAATGTCCAGAATAAAAAATCTATACAGATAGAAAGTAGATTAATGGTTTCCTAAGGCTGGTGTTGGGGAGGCGGGAGAAGATGGTGATTTGGGAATGGGCAGTGAATGTCAGTGATTAGAATGTTTACTTTTGAGTTAATGAGAATGTTCTAAAATTAGGTCATGGTGATGGTTGTTCAGCTCTGGGAATATACTAAAAATCTGTTGAATTGTATATTTTGAATGTGTGAATTTTGTAACATGTGAATTGTATCTTAACAAGGCTGTTTTGACAAAATCTGAAAATTTTGATTAAAACTGCATTGCATTTATAGCTCAATACATGAAGAATTATCATTTCTATATTAATGAGTCTTTATTTCCAAAAACATGGCTAATGTGAAGAATGCAGATATAATCTGTCACAATGATACAACAGTGTAACTAGTAAAAGTCAGATGTGAAAAAAAGGTGAGAAGTCATTTGCTTATGTCAATATTTTCATCTAAAAGCAGGGTGCTGGTGATTCCAAGTAATTATTTAAAGCTGAAAAGTGAAATAATATAATCATAAGCCAATTTATAGTTAAAACAATGAGCAAAAGTAAGAATAAAGTAATAACAATATAATTTGCCCAAATCAGGTGGTAGAAAAATCAAAAAGGAAGTGGGAACAAGGAAAAGTATACTAATTTCATGATTACAGACATGATAAAAGTGTCATAGATACCATCTAAATGGAAAATTAATGGTATTATATAAAACCATAGCTATAAAAGTAACACCAAGGAGAATAAAATAGACTATGGATCTTCCAAATTATCAGAGGGAATAAAGAAATCAAAGCAAAGAAAATACACACTGGATAATTAAAAAGAATCATAATATAAAACAAATGACAACAATAAGCCCAAACATATGTTACAACCAATAATGTAAATGGAATAAACCTGCCTATAAAAATGCAAATATTATTTCATATTATTAAGCAAATGCTAAACTATCCTAAAAATAAGACAAACATCAGAGACAATATTCTCTAATTATAATGCAATAAAAGACAATAAAATAATAAAATCAGCAACAACATAAAGATTCCACTACCTGAGAACTTAAAAAAAACTCAAGCATTTCTTGCAAAGGGGAAACAAACATAAGTTGCAGAACAACTATGAAATAAATCTTGAAAAAGAAGACTGATAAAGACAGACTATTATTCTAGATAGTAAAACCTATAATAAAGTCAGTATAATTAAAATTGTTTTTTTTTGCTGGCCACAGGCAGGTAGAGTAAAGAATGCAGAAACAGACCCAAATATAAGTATCTAGTATCATTTTATGTTAGTGGGAAAAAGATGAGTTACTCAATTGTGTCAGAAAAATTTTCCATTTGGGAAAAAATCACTTACACTAAAATAAATTACACACAGATCAAAGGTTTAAATAGGTTTACTATATGTTTGTTATTATGCAACTATCAATTTACCATAATAATCTTAGACTAAGAATAACCTTTTCAGGGTGTGATTGAAAAGTTATAATCTATCAAAGAATATACTGATAAACATTTTTATAGATTGGAGAAAATATGTGTAGCACATATGACAGATAAATGATTACTTTTTAATGCAGAAAGGATTCTCATACCAATATAAAAATAGCGACAACACAATACAATTCTATTTCCTTCATATTAAGGAATGTCTGTTTTTAAATCTCAATACATATTCCCAATATTATCTCCAGACACATATGAATTTCTACTTCACAATCTAGTAAATGTGAAATATTGTTTTCCCATTTTAAAAATCTTTATTAATCTATTTAGTTTTAATATTTATTCTTATTCTTTGACATGGAGTCTTGTGATATCGACCAGGCTGGTCTTGAACTGCCAGGCTTAAGTGACCCTACTGCCTCAGCCTCCAGAGGAACTGGGATTACAGGTTTATGCCACCACACCTGGCTTCTCTGTTTGGTTTTAAACATCATCTCTTTGTTAATGTGTTTTATCTAATGAAATTGACCAGTAATCTCTAGTTAATGCTAATGAGAATAAAAATTTTCCTTTTTGCCATTTGTATTTATTCTGTGATGAATTTTCTATCAAATACTTCATTTGCTTTTCTAACAAAGGGTTTTTTAGTCTCGTTAGTTTGTAAGGTATTTTGGAGGTGCTGGAATCACTAGATCATTTTCCATTCAAACTTTATTCACTTTGTGCTCCTTTAAAAGTAAATTTCTTTAACTTCATTCTTTCATTTACTAACCATTTTAAAATTCAATGGAAGATTTTCCATTTTTTAATAACTTACAATTTTTCTCTTTATAAAAACTGTTCATAACATTCTAAAATTTACTTTTACACTACTAGATATCTAACGTTTTAACATCAGTCTTTGGATAAGCAATTAAATAATCCACATTAGTTAAATAAAAATATTAATTCAACACTAAACTTACATTGGATAAATCTGAGATTCTTGACTTTAGTCTGAGATCAATGTCTTTCTTTGAGTTCTTTGGTGTGTTAAAATATACATAACTTCGAATTGTTGCTGATAATAATCCATCAGTCCATTCCATAGTATTAGGATCCAGTTGTCCATATAGTTCACTGAGAGTGATACACTTTGGATTTAAAACACAAATGTCTACTTTTCCTTTTCTTCCTGAAATCTGAGAAAAATCCAGTGTAGTTTTTAAAGACACTAACTATAGAACAAGTATTTAGTTTATTTGCATTCTAATAAGAATTAAAAGGTTACAGGAGAAATCCTTCACACCAAAAAAAAAAAAAAAAAAAAAAGACTTTATATAAAGGTAGCAATTTGCAAGGAACAGTAAATATTGACTTGTTAAAATTAGCCATAATATACAAATCATTCTTTTAAAAAAACTGTAATACTACAAACAGTACCCCCAGAAAAAATGGGAAAAATATCTGTGTCTAATCCAGGAACATAGTATATAAACTGGCATGTAACATGTCTGGGGACTGGGTTGAGTATAGAAGTGAAAGACAGTAGAAAACGCTTTTAAGCTTAAGGTCAGAATTGGCCCTGAAATAAACCTTATTTGCAATATTTTAACCTGTCTTGCCAGAATATCTGGTCTCATTTTATGTATCTCAGATGTCAGGCAGAAAAATTGGCAGGCACTTCTTCAGAGAGATTACAGACCTGTGGAAGCCTAGGGCAAGAGATGACAGCTAGAAACATATGACAGACCATATAAGGCCTCAGGGAGAAGCCTGGGTAAAATCTTTGGGAAATTTAGATATTCATATAGGGGAATTCTGAAAGCCATATGCATCAAGATGTATGCAGAAAGACCTGAGATGAATTGAAACTTTCATCTTAGCTTGATCACTAGGCTCAGAGCAGGCACAGCTAATCAGTCAAAAACTACCCCAGCACAGAGCAAGTGTGAGGAAACTGGAAAGCAGTGTAAGAACAAGTAGGAACTACCATTAAGGAGATAGAAATAATAAAAGGGAACCAAATAGAGTTTATAGAGCTGAAAAATAAAATAGTTGAAATAAAAAATCAACAGTGGCATTCAATAGCTGATTTGAGCAGATAGAAAAAAGAATGAGCAAACCTGAAGATAAGGAAGCTGAAATTACCCATTTCAAGAGAAGAAAAATAAATAAAATAGAGTCCAAGAGACCTATGGAAAACCATAAAACATATCAATCTATACATTATGGGAATTCCAGAAGAAGAAAAGAAGAAAAAGTAGAAAAAATGTTGGTAGAAATACTGGCCCAAAATTTTTGAATTAATGAAAAATATAAAATACAAATCCAAGAACTCATGAAACACCAAGAAAAATAAACACAAAGATATCCACACATTATAATCAAACTATTAATGTCCAAAGGCAAAATCTTTAAAGTAGCAGGAGAGAGGCAATACAAGGGATCCTCAGCAAAATTAAAAGTCAATTCTCATCAGAAAGTACAAAGGCCAGAAGGCATGGGATGATACAAAGTGCTAAAACAAACAAACCAAAAACCAAAACTGTCAACCAAGAATTCTGTATGCAGCTAAACCATCCTATGAAAGTGAGGGACAAACTAAGGCATTCTCAGATAAACAGAAGCTAAATAAATCATCCCTGGGAAACCTGCCCTACTGAAAATGCTGAAGGAATGGATAAAGGGATAAATGCTTCAGGCTCAAATGAAAAAAACAATAAACAAAAACTCAGACTCACAGGAAGAAATAAAGATCTACAGTTAAGGTAAATATAAAAGCCACTATTATTTAATTTTTAATTTGTAACTCCTCTTTTTTCCTATATAATTAAAAAATGCATAAACAATAATGATGCATCTATATTAATGGGTACACAATATATAAAGATACAGTTTGTAACAACATAAAGCAGGGAACAGAGCTGAGAAGGAGCAGAATTAATGTCCACTATTGAAGTTAAGTTAGTATCAGTTCTACCAGATTGGTAGTTAAGTGTTTGCTAGGGCTGCCACAACAAAATACCACAGCCTGGGTAACTTAAACAACAAATTTATTTTCTCACAATTCTGAAGAGTAAAAGTCTAAGATCAAGTTGATAGCAGGTTTGATTTCTTCAAAGGACTCACTCTTTGACTTGCCGATAACTGCCTTCTCACTGTATCTTCATGTGGTCTTTTCTCTGTGCATACACACACCTCTGATGTCTCTTTGTGTTTGTAAATTTCCTTTTCTTATAAGTACACAAGTCAAATTGGATTAGGGCCTGCTGTAATAGCCTCATTTTAACTTAATCACCTCTTTAAAGATTGTATCTCCAAATATACTGTAATCCTCCCTTTTCTATAGTTTCACATTCTGCAGTTGCATTTACCTGTGGTTAACTGCAGTCCAAAAATATTAAATGCAAAATTCTAGAAATAAACAATTTGTAAGTTTTAAATTTCATGCTATTTTGAGTAGTTTCATGAAATCTTGCATCATCTTGCTCTGTCCCACCTGGGACTTAAATCTACCTGCTAATTAGTCACTCAGTAACAACTCAGTTATCAGATTGACAGAACACAAGAAGGGTGAGTACAGTACAACAAGATATTTTGAGAGATAAAGACCACATTCACATAATTTTTATTACATCATATTTTTAAAAATTCTTCTATTATTAGTATTCATTGTTCATCTTTTACTGTGTCAAATTTATAAATTAAACTTCATCATAGATATTTATGGGAAAAAACAAAGTATATATAGGGTTCAGTACTATCTGTGGTCCCAGGCATCCACTGGGGGTCATGAAATGTATTCCCCATGAATAAGGGAGACACAAACTGAGGTAATGTGGGTTGGAGATTTAACACATGAATTTTGGGTAGGGGGACACAATTCAGACCCTAACAGATGTTAACTACAATCTCCCAGGTAACTATTTAAAAATGAGTAAAAAATGAAAAGGAAACGAAGAAGGAATTCAAATGTTACATTAGAAAAAAATCAAACACAAAAGGCAATTTTGGAGGAATTGAGAAACAAAAAAGATACAAGACATAGAACAAAATCACAAAAAGGCAAAAGTCCATCATCAATAATCAAAATAAAATAGATTAAGTTTGCCAATTAAAAGAAGAAATTGGCATAATGAAGAAACAAAAACATGATCCAAATGTATGTTGCATACAAGAGACTGACTTTAGACCCAAAGACAATAGTTCAAATACACAGTTCGAAAGTAAAACAAAGTTTTTTCAAGCAAGATGAAATGGACAAATTCCTAAAAACACACAAATTACCAAAACTGACTGAAGAAATAGAAAATCTCAAAAGATCCATAACAAATAGTTTGATTCAATAATCAAAAGCTTCCAACAAAGAACAGTCCAACTACAAATGGTAGGTAACTTCCACCAAACACTTAAAGAAGAATTAACACCAATCCTACTCAAACTCTTGCAAAAAGAAAAGAAAACTAGGAAACACTAATACATTCTATGAGGTCAGCATTACTATGATACCATATCCAAAGACGGCACAAGAAAAGGAAACTACAGACCAATAGCCCTTAAGAATATATATGCAAAAATCCTCAAAAAGATGCTAGCAAACTGAATCCAACAGCACATTTAAAGGATTATGCACCTTGACCAAGTAGGATTCATCCCAGGAATGCAAGGGTAGTTCAACATAAGAAAATCAATCAATGTAACCCACTATCATAGTAAAACGAAGGAAAGAAACCACACGATCGTATCAAAAGGCAAAGAAAATGCATTTGACAAAATTTCACACCTTTTCATGGTAAAAAAACACTCAGAAAACTGGGAAGAGAAGTAAACTTCCTTAACATGATAAGGGGTATTTATGAAACTCAACAGTTAGCACTGTACTCAATTGGTGAAAGACTGAAATCAGGAATAAGACAAGGATTCCAAAGAATAAAATGCCTAGGAATAAACTTAATGATAGGAGAAAGATTCATATACTGAAAACTAGAAAACTTTGCAGAAGAAATCAAAGATACAAAAATGGAAAGACATCTGTGTTCATCAATTGGAAAACTTTATTGTTAAGATGGTAGTGTTCACCAAAATGATCTGCAGGATCAACGCAATTCGTATCAAAATTCCAACGGCCTTTTCTGTAGAAATGGAAAAGCCAATCCTTAAATTCATATGGAATTGCACAGAGCCCCAAATAACCAAATAGCCAAAAAACAAAAAACAAAGTTGGAGAACTTGCACTTCTCAGTTTCAAAACTTACTACAGTAATCCCTCTTTATCCACAGGGGATACATTCCAAGGCACCTAGTGGATGCCTGAAACCACAGATATTACAGAACCATTTATATATTATGTTTTTCCCTATAGATACATACTTGTGATAAAGTTTTATAAATTAGGCACAGTAAGATGTTAACAATAATTAATAGAACAATTAAAACAATATGATGTAATAACTTAAAACTGATATGAATGTCATCTTTGTTTCCCTCAAAATGTCTTATCGTACTGTACTCACTCTTCCTGTGATAATGATATGATAAAATGCCAATATAAAGAGATGAACTAAGGTGAATGATGTGGGCATTGTAATGTAGTGTTTAAAGCTTATTAATTGTTTATTTCTGAAATTTTCCATTTAATGCTTTTGGACCACAGTTGACCATGAGTAACTGAAACTGTGCAAAGTAAAACCATGGATACAGGGAGATTACTATATAAAACCATATAGCAATCACAACATATATATTCAGGTGTAAGAAAAGACATACAGAAAAATGTAATAGAACTGTGAGACCAGAAACAAACCCAAACATCTGTGGCCAACTGATTTTCAAAAAAAAATGCCAAGACCATTTAGTGGGGGAAAATAATAGACTTTAACAAATGGTACAGGAAGAGCTGGATATCCCTACATAAAAGAATGAAGTTGGACCCCTACACTTCACATCAAGAAAGGGAAAAGACATCTCACAAAACAGGAAAAAAATATTTGCAGATCACAATCTGATAAGAGTTTTGTGTCCAGAACTTATAAAGAACTCTCACAACTGAACAACAGAAAGACAACAATATAATCTAAAAATGGACAAAGACATGAACAGACATGTCTCCAGAGAAGATATACAAATGGCCAATAAGCATATGAAAAGGTATTCAACACCAAAACTACAATGAGATAGTGCTTCACATCCACTAGAATGGAAAATAACATGGGAAATAATAAATGTTGGTGAGGATATGGAGAAATAAAAAGCCTCACACATTGCTAATGGCAATTTAAAATGATGTAGTTACCGTGGAAAACACTTTGGTGGTTCCTCAAAAAGCTAAACACAGAATTACCATATGACCCAACAATTCTACTCCAAGGTATACATCCAAAGGAAATGAAAGCATACGTCTACTCAACTTATACACAAATGTTTACAACAGTAATATTCATTACAATCAAAAGGCAGAAACAACCTAGATATATATATCTGTACATACATCTCTGCCAAAATAGGCAAACCTATAGAAACAGAAAACCAATTAGTGGCTTCCAGGGAATGGGAAGATAGGAGAATAGGGGGTGATTTCTTAATGAGAAAGGGGTGTTTTCCTGGGGTGATAAAAATATTTGGAAATTAGAGAGAGGTAGTAATTGCATAACACTGTGAATGCATTAAATGTCACCAAAATGTACACTTTAAAATGGTTTATCTAATGTGTGTGAATTTTACCTGGCAGTACATGGTGAAGTTATACCCTGCCAACCAGCAATTACATTACTGGGTATCAAATTTTTAAGGACACACACATATCTAAAGGCATATAGCAAGGAGGGTTCCTATGATAAGGAGGAAAAAGAAAGATAAGGAAATAAGGTAAATAAATTAAACAAAACTACACGAAAATAAAGAGAAGGTCTTGAACAGACCAATAAGAAGAAAGTCATAAACTAAGGATGACCAAAATAATTCCATTACCTCAGGTCCTACCACCATTCTTAAGTATGTTTATTACAATTATATCTTTAAAAAACAAAAATTTAAAACTATTAAACATGTGAGAATCATTAAATAAATTATAGTATAGTCATATATACAGAATATAGTAATTGGGATACTTGTCAGAAATGTTTAATGTCATGAGGTTAATTCTCAGCATATAACATTAGGTGAAAATTCCAAGGTTGGAAAAACAGATTTATTATACATGGTACTATCTATTTCAAAATACATTTAGTGTAGAATAAATAATCAAAGCTAATACAGTAATATGTTTTCACATGTTATCGTTTTCACATTTTACTGTATTATTATTCTAGGTGATTATTCCTTCACATTTTATATTCCAAATTTCTCACAATAATACATACTATTTTTGGAATTAAAAAACTGTTTTAAATAAAGTGAATTACTGTCTTCACTGTTGTTGTGAGAATTAAAGATAATTCAAGCAAAAGTGTTTTAGCACTCTGCTTGGACCTTTTTAGGTAGTCCATACGTATTAGTTATTATTATTATTGCTGTGATAATTCACCTCTTATTAGTTATAACTGTGTAAGAACTAATTGAGATCTTTCAGGAAGGAAAATTTGCATGAAGGGAAAAGAGAAAAGAGTATGAACTACTACGTGTATCATCTTGAAGCAGGGTATTTCCCACTAACTGAAAAAAAATCCACATAACCAATAATCTGAATTTCTAAATTTTTGGAATATGTTACCAACAATAAATCACTAACTAAGTAATTGAAGTACATACTATTTAGTGGAGTCTGACTTTATACTGAATAAAAATATATCATGACTAAGTAGGCACTATGCAAGGAATTCAAAGACAAGTTAACATTAATAAATCAACATAGTTTATTACATTAATCAGTTAAAAGAATTAAGAAATAGATGCTGAAAATAATTTAATAAATTGTAACAGCCAAATAAACCAAAGTGTAATGGGAAAAGAAAGTTTCCAAGTGTGAAAAGGAATATTTATCAGCGACCAAGGTCAAATATCATATTAAATGCATAAATATTAAATACATTCCAGATAAAGTAAGGAACAAATATTATAGTTAACATTGTCTTGGAAAGTTAATTCATTAAGATGAGAATAGAAGTTATATAAATATTCAAGAAGAGACAAAATTATTTTCATTTGGAGATAATTCAATTGATACCTAAACACAATAAGAAATTAAAAGTTCATTTATTAAGGTGCCTAGATACAAAATAAATATACAATAGTTTATTTAAACTAGTAACGATCAGTTTGAGATTTAAGTTAAAAACCCTACTCACTATGATTCTTAACTACAAAATTCCTAGCAATAAGTTCAATAAGTAATGAAAATACCAATATAAAGAGAACATAAAATATTAATTAAAGGTAAAATAAGATATGAACAAATACAGAAACATTTTATTTAACAGAACATTTACCTTTGAAGCAGATTTTCTTTCTGCAACTGATAAGAAGTCTGCAATTGGTAATAGTGTTAATGCTTTTTCCAAAATTTTTCTGACTGTTGTCTTTCCTCCACCTGTTGGGCCCACTAACATCACACCAACACAAACCTAAAACAAAATTTACAGATTTATTCATTCATTAATGATTTTAAGTTTATTTACAAATATATCTCTACATCCAATAACTATTTTATTTTTTGTGGCTATAATAAATGAATCTGTATTCTTTATTTGGCTCTCAGCATGAATGTTATTTGTGTATAGAAATGCTACTTTTACATTGATTTTGTGTCCTGAAACTTTGCTGAAGTTGTTCACCAGATTTAGGAGTCTCTTGGCTATGTTCATTTTTATTTTTATTTTATTTTAATAATAGGTACAGAGTCATACCATCAGCGAAGAGGCATAATTTAACTTCCTCTTTTCCTATTTGGGTGTTCTTTATTTCTTTCTTTTATCTGGTTGTTCCACCTAGGACTTCCCGTACTATGTTGCATAAGAGTGGTGTGAGTGGGCATTCTTGTCGTATTCTAATTCTTAAGGCGAATGCTTTTAGTTTCCACCTATTCAATATGGCTCTTTTTTTATTTTTTTAAGGTATGTTCCTTTGATGCCTAGTTTGTCGAGAGTTTTTATCAAAAAAGGGATGTTGGATTTTATCAAATGCTTTTTCTGCATCTACTGAGACAATCATGTGTTTTGCTTTTTTTTTTTTTTTGAGACAAAGTCTTGCTCTGTTGCCCAGGATGGTGTGCAGTGGTACAATCTGAGTTCACTGCAACCTCTGCTTTCCAGGTTCAAGCGATTCTCATGCCTCAGCCTCCTGAGTATGTGGAACTACAGGTGCATGCCACCACAGCTGGCTAATTATTGTATTTTTAGTAGAGATGGGGTTTCCCCACGTTGGCCAGGGTAGTCTTGAACTCCTAGGCTCCAGCGATCCACTCAACTCTGCCTCCCAAAGTCTTGGAATTGCAGGTGTGAGCCACTGTGCCCAGCCAATCATATGGTTTTTAATTCTGTTTATGTGGTGAACCACATTCACTGATTTGCATATGTTGAACCAACTTTGCATCCCAGGAATCAAGGCTTCTTGATCATGGTGAATTCATGTTTTTTGATGTCCTGCTGGATTTAGTTTGCTAGTATTTTGTTGAGGATTTTTGCATCTATGTTCATCAAAAATATTGGTCTGTAGTTTTCTTTTGTCATTGTCATATTATACTGATTTTATATAATGACTTTGGGAGTAATCCCTACTTGATTTTTTATTTGAATAATTTCATTAAGATTGGTATTAGCTCTTCTTTGTACATCTGGTAGAATTTGACTGTGAATCTTTCTGGTCCAGGGCTTTTTTTGGTTAGTAGGTTATTTGTTACAGACTCAATTTTGGAACGTGTTGTTGACCTTTTCAGGTTTCTGTTTCTTCCTGATTGAATCTTGGGAGGTTGTTTGTTTCTAGAAATTCAACCATTTCCTCTAGATTTTCTATTTTGTGTAAATAGAAGTGTTCATAATAGTCTTTGAGGATCTTTTGTATTTCTGTAGGGTAGCTTATAACATCACTTTTGTTATTTCTGATTGTACTTACTTGGATCTTCCTATTTTTTTTGTTAATCTAGCTAGTGGTCTATTGATCTTGTTTGTCCTTTCAAAAAACCAACTTTTGGTTTCATTGATCCTTTGTGTAGATGTTTGGGTCTCAATCTCTCAATTTTCTTCAGTTCTGCTCTGATTTTAGTTATTTCTTCTCTTCTACTAGCTTTGGGATTAGTTTGTTCTTGTTTTTATAGTTCAATTGGATGCAATGCTAGATTGCTAATTTGAGATCTTTCTAACTTCTTAATGTAGACATTCAGCGCTATAAACTTTCCTCTTAATACCTTTTTTGTCACATCCTAGAGCTGGTACCACACTACCCGTGGCTTCTAGACCTTTGCAGCACTGGGGCTTGCCCAAGGCCTGCAGCCACCACTGCCTACCTGCCATTGATATTTATTGATTGCCTGAGGCCACTTTAGTTAGCCAGTAATGATGCTGGCCAGGACTTTGATCCATCCTACCAAGGCAGGTGATTCCCTTCTGGCCTAGATTGGGTCTAAAAATGCTGTTCAGGAGTATCTGCCTGGAATCAGGGTCCACAAGGCTCTTCTGGTACTCTAGTTTACAGTGGCAGAGCTAGTACTAGGTTCCAAGGCAAAGTCCCCTGCATCCTTTCCTCTCCTTCTAAGTGGAAGGAGTCTCCCTTCACACTGCACTGTCTGGAGCTGGGAAAAGAGTGACATGGGCTCTGCATAGCTGCTGCAGTTGATATCATGCAGGGCCACACCCAAAGCCCCCAGCCTCACAGATCAGCACAGCATTGACATCACCCAAGGACTGTTGTACTATGGCCTGCCTACAACAGAATTTTATTCGGGACCTGAGCCCACTTCAGTCAGCCAAGGGTGAATTGGGTCAGGACTTGAGTTTCTCCCACTGGGATGACAGATTCCTTTCTGGTCCACAGTGAGTCTAAATACTCTCTTCGTGGTCACCAGCCTGGAATCAGGGGCCATGGTGTTATGCCTAGTGTTGTTTTTTATTGTGGCAGGGCCAGTACTAAATGCAAAGTCTCACACACTTTCCTCTCTCTCTCTCTCAAGTGGACAGAATCTTTCCCTGGGCTCTGTGCTGCCTGGGGTTGGGGTAGGGCTAGTGTAGGCAGTGTGAGACTGTTCTTTCTACTTTTTTCAATGTGTCTTTTCTGTTTTTATGGTAAAATTAGGTACTCTGATCTCTTACCTAATTACTTAGCTCTTGTGAAGGCATTTTCTTGTGTGGATAGTTGTTCAATTTGATGTTATTTCAAGGGTATGAGTCCTTGAAGGTTCTATTCCACCATCTGGCTCTACCTTATCCTCCCTAAAAGTTTTAGATATTCACATTTCCCATTTTTAAATTGTCTGGATTTTTTTTAAGATGCCAGTTGATGATCTATTTTTCCCCATGTGAATAACCATTTTTCCAAGACTCTTCCTTACTGGTTTGCTACTTCTATCATGTATGAAGTGTCCACATTTAATAAGGTTAATTTCTTAATTAATTTCTTTTTATTTTATTTTATGAGATGAAATCTCACCCTGTTGCCCAGGCTGGAGTGCAATGGTGCGATCTTGGTTCACTGCAACCTCTGCCTCCAGGGTTCAAGCAATTCTTCTACCTCAGCTCTCAGATAGCTGGGATTACAGGGATATGCTGTCATTCCTAGCTAATTCTTTTTGTATTTTTATTTTTTTAGTAGAGACAGGGTTTCATCATGTTGGCCAGGGTGGTCTCAAACCACTGACCTCAAGTGATCCACCTGCCTCGGCCTCCCAAAGTGCTGGAGTTTCAGGCATGCACCACCACACCCAGCGATTTCTTCTATATTTTGTTCTTTTGGTTTATTTATCTGAATGACAGGACAGAATAGAAAATCGAGAAATAAAGCCACGTATCTACAACCATCTGATCTTCAACAAAACTGACAAAAATAAGCAGTGGGAGGAGATAACTAAACTATGCATCAGACAAAGGTCCAGTATCCAAAATCTATAAGCAACTTAAAGAATTCAGCAAGCAAACAAACAAACAAATAAATAAATAAATAACTTCATTAAAAAGTGGGCAAAGGAGATGAACAGACACTTCTCAAAAGAAGACATATAAGAGGCCAATAAACATATGAAAAAATGCTCATATCACTAAGTATCAGAGAAAGGAAATCAAAACCACAATGAATTGGTTTCACATTAATTAGAATGGCTGTTACTGCTACTAAAAAGCAAAATAAAAACATACGCTGGTGATGCTGTAGAGAAAAGGGCATACTTACACACTGTTGGTGAGAATGTAAATTAGTTCAGTCACTGTGGAAAGCAGTTTGGAGATGTCTCAAAGAACTAAAGATAGAACTACCATTTGCCCCAGCAATCTTATTACAGGGTATGTACCCAAAGAAAAATTAATCATTATTCCAAAAAGGTATCTACATTCATATGTTCACTGCAGCACTATTTATAGTAGCAAAGACACGAAATCAACCTAGGTGCCCATTAACAGTGGATTGGATCAAGAAAATGTCACAAATATACACCATAAAATACTATGCATCCATACAAAAGAATGAAATCAAGTCCTTTGTAGCAACATGGATGCAGTTGGAGGCTATTATCTTATACAAATTAGCACTGAAATGGAAAACCAAATATCACAAGTTCTCACTTATAAGTAACAGGTAAATCTTAAGTACACATGGGCAGAAAGTTGGTAACAACAGACATTAGGGACTCCAGAAGGAGGGAGGAAGGGAAGGGAGCAAGGGTTGAAAAAATTCCTATTGTGTGCTATGTTCACTATCTGGATAATGGAATAAATAGAAGCCCAAACCTCAGCATCACACAATATAACCATGTAACAAACCTGTATATGTACCCTGTAGGTCTAGAATAAAAACTTAATTTAAAATAATGCATTAGAGGGTCTTAACAGTAGAACAGATCCATCAGAACAAACAGTGAGCTCAAAGATAGGCTATTTGAAAGTATTCAGTGGTACAGTTTGAATATTTGTCACCTTCATAACTCATGTTGAAATTTGATGTCTGCTGGAGATGGGGCCTAATAAGAAGTATTTATATCTTGTAGAGGATCCTTTATGAATAGATTAATGCCTTCCCTATTACAGTTCCTTCAAGAGTTGGTTGTTAAAAAAAGCCTGGCATCTTGCCCATCTCTCTCTTGTTTCCTGTCTTACCATGTTATATCTACACATGGCAGCTCCTTTTCACTTTCTGTCATGCGTGGAAGCAGCCAGAGGCCCTCACCAGGTGCCAAATCTTGAACTTTTCAGTCATCAGAATTATGAACCAAATAAACCTCTTTTCTTTATAATTTACTCAGCCTCAGATATTTCTTTACAGCAACACAAAACAGACTAAGACACACAGTGAGAGTAGAGTAACAGACAAGAATGAAATTGAAGGATGCTCATGACATCTGTGGAATAGCATCAAAAGAGCATATATAAAAGTCACTAGCTTTCAAGAGAGAGAGTGAGAAAGAAAAAGGGGTAGGATGCTTATA